GCTAATTAAAAGTTTTTTTTTTACATATAAGTAAAAACCTGTCTGGACTGAAAAATTTAATTTGCTGCCGGCAGTCTTCCATACTCACCTCATCTACTAACTGTTTTAGAACTGGTACTTAATACATTGTCCATGACTGATACTTCTGTTGCTTGCTATTGGAGAAATCCTACTTACAGTTATCTCTTTTGAATGTAGGAGACTGCGTGGTCTCAAGGCTCAGTGTCCGCCTCGAGTGCTAGAGTTTCCAGGTTCAATCCTTGGTAAGAACTGGGATTTTTTTCAGGTGGACTTGGACTTCCTAGTAATTCTTCCTGGTCTCTGGGTAGTGAGATCGGGCACCCGTGTGCATTGTTGCATGCATGAAAAATCTCTTGGCGGTTGGAAATAAAAAATAATAGCCTAACGGCGCTACCCGGGCAAAATTTGGAGTTAAAAATCTACCCAAAAGGATTAAATGTGAGGGTGCGCCACATAGTGACCCCCCGTGCGAAGCTACTTCTGTAGTTGAGTCGTTAGGGAACGACTGGCAGGGTGAAACCCACTTGCCCAAAGAAACCTAAGATGTCTACACGGAGGCGCACATTTGCAGATCTCTGACAAAGATTAGGTTTTTCATCCACAAGCGATAGGGTGTCGGACAAGCTGGAGGGTAGCTTTTGTGAGATTATTAATGGTGATCTAAAGAAAAAGTCACAAGGCTTGACAAACTAACACGGTTTGGTGACATAATTTACACTCACTGTGCCCGCGCCGTTTTCAAAATGGCGGACAGCAGCTTTATTTATTTTCGCTGGCTGTCAATTCTCTCGGATTGTTCTGTTTCATAATCATGGACTGCTATTTTATGCGCATTTCCAACGCAGGAAATTATGTGTTTTTCGTGGGAACAGCGTGTACTGTGGTTGTGCTGTGTCGGGGCGGGATAATGACCGATAGTTTTGGCAGCCTCGACCACACTGCCTTCGCAATGTTTTGATCGCGGGGGTCCACTCGGGAAAACAGAATCTCGTCAGCAGGGGACTGCAACTGTCTAGAGAGCAAACTCGATAAAAGCTGTCCCCAGAAACGGAATGTGTCAACCATATATTTGGTGGGGAGGAATCGACACATACGGTTAACTCAATGGCCATGCGCAAATATTTATCCAATAATGGTACCACCACGTTGGGTAACAATCAAGTGAAAGCGGGACTCGCTCTCACATCTCAAATAGGTTTACCCTTAGCCACCAACAGCCCCGCGGCTTCCTGCATTGCTAGGAGAGGACAGGGTGTCACTTCTAATTGCGAGGACACACTTCCACCACTCGTAATCATGCAGTGGAACGCCGAAGGTGTATTTAACAAAAAGAGAGAACCAGAGGAACGCCTGCGAGCAGAAAAAAATCGACGTTATCTGCATTCAAGAGACGCACCTCAACCCAAGTAAAAGATTTCATATTAGAGGATATGAAATATTTCGCCAAGACAGAGAAACTAGACATAAAGGTGGGGTTGCCACGCTGGTTCGTAATTCAATACCAGCTGTTGAACTACATAGATCCAACCAGCTGAATACTGAATTCATTGCTATCCAGCTGCAACTAAAAAATAAAAATATGTCAGTCTACAACATTTACTCACCACCTACCCTCCCCACCGAACTTGAAGCTATACAGGTTCAAGAGAGTAACTTGCTAATTATCGGAGATTTGTACAGTCACTCACCCAGCTGGGGTTATGACTGTTTAGATGCTCGAGGAGAAAATCTTGAGGAGTGGCTAATCACAAACTGTCTCACCCTTCTCAATCACCCTGATGACCCGCACACGCACTACTCTAGACGGTGGCGCACAACAAGCACACCTGATCTAGCATTTGCAACAGATGACATCCATAAGATATCTGTTAGGCAGGTGTGTGACCAGTTAGGAGGCAGTGACCACAGGCCAGTGAAGATTCTGATAAACAGCCTTAAAATAGAGAAATCTCCAGATACTGCACCAAGCTGGAACTACAAAAAGGCAGATTGGAAACTTTTTCAAGAACTTGCAGACTCAAACTGCAAAGTAATCAGCCTTTCAGGTAAGGTTGACAGAGATGCACAAGAATTCAACAAGGCCATACTGAATGCAGCAAAAAAAACCATTCCTAGAGAAAAGAGGCACAATTACAAGCCATATTGGTCACCAGAACTGGAAGTGCTTCACGGTTCGCTCTGTGATGCTAGAGATAGCATGGAAGCTGATCCAACAGATGAACATGTGGAGCAACACAACAAAGCAAGGGCTCTCTATGTCAGAGAAAGAAACCTACAGTGTAGAAAGTCCTGGAAAGAAAAGACTGCTTCTGTGAACATGGAAAAAGACACCACAAAATTGTGGAGACTGACAAAGGCACTTAATGATGACAACCCATCTCATGGAAAAACAGTTCTCCAACAAGAAGGAAATCTACTCACAGGGAGGGAAGCAGCGACTCTGATGGCCCGAAACTATGAGAAAGAAAGCTCATATTCAGTAACCCTGGAGCAAAAGAAAGCAGTCCGAGATGGGATAAACTCCATATTCAAAAAAGCCTCTTGTGAACCATTGTTGGAGACAGACATCACTCTAACTGAGCTACTAGTACATTGTGGCAAGCAGGAAGTCCGTACTACAAGTGACGGCACGAGATACTTGTGTCCGGTGGAGTAAGCGAGGGGAAGCCCGAGCTAGCCTCGTGGTCAGTCGATCATGAGAAGTCAGTGAAGACGGTTGTAGTAATTGAAGATGTAGTTTTTATGTTGTGAATGGTTAGTGTTCGAATATGTCGCGAGTGAAATAAATGGACGAGAATAAACTGACAGATTGTACAATGAAGCTGAGTGGCGTTAGTGTTGTCAACCCTAGACGTTAAAGTCGGTGTAAACCGAGGTTCATTCCAAGTGAAGCATCGGTTCATTCCAAGTTGAATAAGAATCATTTCAAGATAGTTGAAAGCGTAACGTCAAGTTTACGTTTTGACACATTTCAATGTATATCGTCCCTGGCCTAGAGCTTTTCTGCATGCGGACAGTAAGTGCTTGAGCGTCCCTAGCTCTGCATAGTGGGCATGTCATATCAGTGGTCGCCCACCAGTAGGCCATGTTGGCGCCAGAGGGCAACACGTCATAAGCAGATCTTATGACAAATTTCAGTCGCAGCAGAGCCATTCTTTAGATCTCAACCCATGTGAGTATTCGTGGTAAGGCACTCTCGAGGCCGATCCACTGGCCTTGCTGCTTTTTTGGGCCCGAACCTCATTTTCGGTGTCCCTTATCTGCTGTATTAACGTTTCTGCGCTCTTTGACTGGACCACTAAGTTATTTTTTCATGCCCTAGGTCTGTCGGTTTGTGTTTAACCTATGACTTCTCACAATTTTAGATGTCAAAATGTGTCATTATCTTTCTCCCTATCAGTCCTATCACAGTTACAGTCAGTCTCAGTACCAGAGTTTCAGTCTGTCATAGTTCCAGTTTAAAGTTACCAGGCAAGCTTCTTACAGTCCTTGTACTCAAGAATTCCAAAGCCAGATTCCAGTTGTAATCCCTAGCCAGTATCTTTCGACAAATTACAATTGTAATCCTTGTCTGGCTCCTCTGTTGGTGAGTCGATCTTGTCTCTGTACGGTCGCTTTGTGTCTCTAAAATAAACCCAACAAACAGCACTACTACTTGTTTCTGCTTTAATACTGTGTCCAGGCTTACAAATATACATTGTATAATGCATGCCATGTTTAAAAGTAAGGTAAAACTGATTAACAGATTCATTGATGCATACATTCATTATATGAGTGGTTCCCTCTGGGAGTGTGCTGCTGTGCTAAATCATGCCGTGGTATGCCCGCCTCTCTACGGCTGTGAGGTTTCTCAGCACCACCTGTTTTGCATTCATGAGGTGACAACAGTCTTCTTGACAACAAATATTCCTATAGACATGGTACTGGGTTGGCATAAGTCTTCTGACAGAAAATCTGACAGCCAGTGCACCTATCTCACTTAAGACGTCTTTCATATATTTATTATCACCTCTGTGTCTTTCTGTCTTCTTACTTAAAAAAAAAATGTTCAAATTACCATACTAAACAAATAAAAAAAATTACAATTGGCAAAGTTGGTGTGATTAAAGAAAAACATGCTAAATTTCCACACACACAAAAACGTGTTTATAGTTTTTTTTTTTTAATTTAATCCCCCTGCAAGAACATTTTCTCCACATGTTTAATGATTATTTTCCTTGTCCACTCCAAAAAATTATCCTTCTAAAAAAAAGTGAAGATCAGGTCACATGTAACTGAACACTGACAATCTTATAAACCTCGGAACCCTGGATCTTCAAGAGACATTCCACCATTAAGTCTAAAAAATGTGGAATTTTGAAATGAAAATCAACATCACAGCACTCAGGATACTCTAATAACCACTCCGACTAAAAAGTGACTAAGACTAGGGATGGGTTTGACTACCTCATCCCATAAAGCTACAAAAACCAATCAAATTAAGGAATAAATAATACACAACCTAGCCAAGATGGTGGGGGGGGGGGGGGTGGATTCTGTCCAGAAAGATTATGAAGAGACGTGGAGAAAGCCAAAAGGCACACACACACACACACACACACACACAAAACATGCATAAGGGAATTAGAGAATGAAGTAAAAAAACAGGAGGGCATAAGGTGAGCTACATGAAATAGCAAAAGATAGGAGTTGGCAAAAATTGGTAGCAAAAGATAGGATTTGGAAAAAGTTGGTAGCGGCTAGGCCCATTGAGTGATACAGGGCAGAAGATGAAACTTCAACATCCAAATCCTAGGGCAACATGCATTGAACAATAAACACGCAGCATGCGTGCACACTGTAAAACCATTGGGACCCCTCTCTGTATATTATTTTCATTGTAAATTATATATATGAAACCTTATTTTCACTATAATATTCATTTATAATGTTTATTCAAATACATACATATATACATAGGCACAGTCAGCACCCTCACACTACCACATTGGGGTAATCTTATTTGACGTACTGCCATCAAGATGGGCAGATGCAGAAAGTGTTGACATGTGTCTCAGTCCATACTCCGCTCTCTGTGAAATTCCCAGGCCCTTAGATCCAGCTTCAAACTCTTTGCCAGCCGTGCTGGATACGGCCACAGATGTGAATTCCTTCTCATCCAACATCTTGTACTCCAGTTCACAGTCAAAGACTTCTTGGAAACACCTGAGAACACGGTACAGAAGTATGGTTATTTTTTCTGGAATAAACCTGCATGTACAATCTATTTCATCTCACTCTTTATAATCACTATCTTCTTGTGCTGTTATACGTTACATAGAGCTGCCAGTTTATTTTTCATTCTGACCTATCTTATGCAATTATTCTCATATAATGATGGATGGAATCCACTCCAGCTCCTTAGGCCTCTCCCTAACGTCTTTCTTAAGGTTTCTTTTGGAGATTCTCGTTTTCTCAAACCATTTCTTTCCCACTTAAGTGCCTGTTTGGTGATTCTCTGCTTCTACTCAGGATGTGCTCTATATTGTGCCATCTTCTTTGTCTTTTAACTGTTGATACCAAAAGATGTCCAGACAAGACTTTTATTTCTTCGCCTTTCTTTAATTCACCCTCCCTGTGTGGGTCCAGGGGCCAACTGTGGGGAAACAAGAACAGACCCACTGCCTCCCCAACAAGCATGTTTGCCAGCCCAACCAAAAGCCGCAGATATTCGCCCAGCCGACCGCGTCTGATATGTTGCAGCACATACCAAACTGGTGAAATTGACTGCAACACAGAATTACAACTCAAGCTAAGATAGCAAAGGAACCGTCCATAATATAGTAGGCCTTTGATCTTAAAGAGGGGCTAAGCTTGTAATTTTTGTTTTTTACAAATCCAAATCTGAACAAGCATGTCAAAGGAGTCGACTAATGAGGGACTTTCTTTGAGTGCATCTGCCGGAATGGCAAGGAACAAACAACTGAACACAAATAAACCAGTACGATGGATGTACATGCAAAACTCAGACCCTGGCACAAGCCAAGTCTAAATGGACCAACAACCAGGACTTTCTGCCAGAGCTTACAGCCAGTGAACAAAGAACAAGAAGGATCCATCCCATTTAATGTATCTCTATGCCTAAGTGTATCACAGTCCTTCCAAAATCCTATTTACAACTCTATACTGTCTGTCCCTTTACTATATACCGTAGATTTGGCCTTTATGCCTGTTAAAATTATTTCATCTAGCTGTCAGTATTCTGTTAGGTTAGATTATCCCTCACTGACACTATTGTGATATGTTCAATGCCACATATATCAAGTGATAATGTATTGAGAAGGGGAAGCATCATGATTGTTTTAAACCAACTGCTATAAAATCAGACCCAGGATAAATTAAACATACTTGACGAGAGATCACAGGTTTACAAAATCCATAGGGGAAAGACAAACATTATGAGAATAAATCAGGCAATCTCTCCCAGAGAAATTCCACTCCAAGATGTGCCGTCATATACCTGTTTGGGTAGTAATGTAGATAAAGAGTGGGTTACTGACAGAGATATAAAAACATAAATACAAAAGGCAAGAAGAGTTTTAATAGTACTAGAAAAATTTGATTTGTGGAAATCAGAATCAACCAGCAACTTATTATTTGATACACATGAATTGAACCTGTTCACGTTATCTAACAGCCAAATAGAGACGTTGGAATGCATGAAAAATGAAGCCATGTGAGTCATTTTGGGATGTACACTGGAGATGCCAATCGTGTGCATGCACCACAGACTGGTATTGTCGTCCACATATGAAAGATACAAGGCGCTAGGGGCAAAATTATACCTTGAAGTTTCAACCAACAGAGAACACCTTCTACACGAGACTGTGGGATAGCAAGGGTCATCGGCTGAACAGAGGTAGCTCTTGGATGGCATAGGCAAAAGACATGATAAGAACTGATTTCTACTGACAAGACAGTGCATGGTGAGGAGGAAGGGGTTAGTGTCACCCAGCAGAACAGATATACAGAGTGATAGTTTACCACGAACCGAGGGTGACAGGAATGGATAAAACAGATGCATCGGTGCAAGAACTGATTGATGAAATTTCCAGGAGACATCATTATATACACAGATGGATCTGCAGTGAGAGGTAGAAACAGTGGGTGGGGTTTTATTGCAAAGGTGAATGGACACTATTTGAGAATAGAGAGCCTTGCGTATAATATCCCAACAACCAGTGTGAGAATGGAGGTGAAGGCAGTAACAGGAGCTTTTCGATAGCTGGAGAGCAGTACAACTCAACATGTGGTAACTGTAACGGACTAACAGAACATGCTTTGAAAAATGAAAACTGGCATCCTATGATCAGAGTGGCTGCATCGCAAATTATAAGCATATCATGGACGTTTAAGCCCAATTATTTGGGTGTGTGGGGAAATGAGCAGGCTGATAAATTGACTGCTGCAGCTCCTCTGTGTGGTGAGCTACTTTATGACAAAGTGGAAGTTGTGAAGGCTCCCTGGGATCAAATTGGCAGTGCAACAGAACAGACAGGGAGCCATACACTGACAGACTACTTCAGCAGGGGTTCTGGAAGATATTCAACACTAAGGGGAAAACAGGTAGAGTTAATCAAGTTGCAGTTGGTACTATTAGCACACTGACTCTTTGTTGGCTAGTGAGGAAGGAGATGGAGCACATGTAGGAATGTTCCAAGTGCAGGGATGTCAGTTCTTTATTCATTTGTTCATTGATGTGCACTTTTTCCTCTAATGGAGCACAGGCCCTCAACCAACTAGTCTAGTCATAATATCAAATTTAATTAATGCAAGATTTTCTTTTCCTATGCTGGCTGAATCACCATTTCTAAAGGTGATCTTAAGGTTAATGAACATAGGTAAAATAAAATAAAAAAAGGGGGGGGGGGGGAGATCTTACAACTGACACATGGACTTATGCTGACAAGCAGAGAGCAAAAGTGTGGTTTCTATGAAAATGGAATGAAAAACATGGATGGATAGAAAAACAAGCAAAGGCTGTTTCTTCAAGAAATGAATAATATCACAAAATGATCAATCTAACGTAGTCAGAAGATTTTTTCCTACTGACAATTTATTTACTTAATTTTTCTACTCATTACTTTCCTGCCTCCTATCTTGATATTTAAACATATTTTAGTTATTACAGACTACAGACTTGTTGCTATCAGTCACATGTCAAGATGTTCTGAATGCATTCTTACAATAATTTATTTTGCCACTGTTGTCTGTGCGAATTCAGACAGCAGTAAAAATGTATTTACTGAAAGCAACAGCCAACTTTAGATTGTTTTTCCATAGTTTATCCTCAAAAGGAAAAAGCAAGTATAGGCTACAAAAATTGTATCTATTCTGCACAGGTGAACACTCTTGGAGCAAATACTTTATTCATCATTTTACCAGTTCCACACTTTATTTACCAGTCTCCTTTCAAGCTTACTGAAATAGTGGTATTTTAAAATGTAGTGGTATTTTAAAATGTTATATCTGGTGCTGTCTGGAGATGGCCACTTGTTCACATCTATGAAACTAGTAATATACGTACATCTTTCTGGTGGCTTAGATACATTAATTTCAACTTGGTTCTAACAGTAATTTTCATAAACCTAGTCAGTGTTCTACACTTACCGAAGGAATGGTTTGACGGCATCTTTGTACTCCACATTCTTATTCAATTCTTTGGTCAGGCTGGTCACTTCCATACCCTGGCTGGGTGGAGTAATGTGTTTAAACCAGTCTAGGTTCACATTGCAGTTCAAGGCCACCCCATGTGTGGTGACACATCGGCTTTCATGAAGGCCTACAAATATGTAATTTAACAATAGAAATAATGTTACACTCACAATGAAGACTTTGAAAATTCATTTGGGTGACAGGAGTGATATATTGGAAACAAGGAGTGAAGCTCATTAGTTTGAGTGAAGAATCCACAATCTAGCCATCATTTGGGTGACAGGAGTGATATATTGTACACAAGGAGTGAAGCTCAATAGTTTGAGTGAAGAATCCACAATCTAGCCATCATTTGGGTGACAGGAGTGATATATTGTACACAAGGTGTGAAGATCAATAGTTTAAAGAATCCATAATCTAGCCAGTTAAGAATAACAACATAATAATAATGGGAAGAGAGGGGGGAAGACTTGTATGTTAATTCATCTTCATATTCACTTTCCCATTTAGACCACTATAAGAAAGAGAAGATAGCGTCCCTCAGGTATATGATAAAAATAACAAGGTGGGCGGAGCCACATGCTATAGCGAAGGATAGAAACACTTGGCGTGAGTTGGCTTGAGGACCTGTACTCCATTGGAGGAGAGAACACTGAAGAAGATGAAAATTTATGGCAGAGACATTTTCTAGATGGTCTCAGACAGTGGCATAGAGGAATATTACAGTTAAAATTAATCCAGAACCATAAATGTAAGTCTACCTTGTCTCTTAGGAGGTCAAGCCTGCCTAAATAAGTACCAGGAAATGTCACGAGAAACAAAGGCGGCCAGCATGAGTCTGATCACATCTTCCACTGAGTGCCAACTGGCCTATACAGATATAAGTGTGGCATCATATGCCTGATGCAGCATTGATATAAAAAAAAAGGTCTGTTACTTACAGAAAAAGAAAGATCAAGAATTGTGAAGACACATGAGTTTCTATCTAGCTAGCTAACAAGCCTTGTGATGATGTAACCACACAAAATAGCAACCTACCAATCATGCCTATCTGACGGTTTCCCACCCAGATTCCTGTCTGGTCTGTAGTTCGGCCAGCTAGTCCAAACTGCTTTAATGTACTCATCATAGTTTGCTCTAACTGAGAAGCATACCTGCAACAAGTATAATTGCTAACCTTTAACAGCAATATTGAGATGCTTTCTAGAACATTCAAAAACCAAATATAGTCTGCTAATAGCAAAATTATAAAACTAAGAAGCCTCAACTGTATACAACAGCACAAAATATTTTGACAATGAATAGTCGCTACAATGCTCAGTGTTTCTTCTTCTTCTTCTAAGCTTTAACCAGCTATAAACTCCGGCCGAAAGTTCTGGTTGTCCATCCATTTCTGGACTTTGGTCTTGTTCCAGAACTTGTAGTTTTTTGCATATAAATTCATTTTACAGATGTGGTTTTTAAAAATCCTTTTTATAGATCTTGCTTATTTGTATGCAGACTGCTGGTTCCTTGTCTCTCAGGCAGATGCACTCCGACTAGCACTCCTCTAATCAGTCGCACTGTACGTGCTTGTTAGGGAGGCAGTGGGTCTATTCTCCCCCCCCCCCCCTCTGCCAATGGGGATCCCAGAACCCCACCACAGAAAGCTCAGTGTTTGATTAAGTTCCCTTTCAGCTTGTCATCTCTCAGTAGAACAAAGGCTCCATTAACACCAAATCAACCGTAGCCGTGTTCTTATAACTGGCTGGATTCTGCAAAGTCTGTATTACTATTCTTTGCTCTTCAGTAACACACAGGTGAGATGTAAGTTTATTACTTTATTCCAACCAGTGCCAAGATACAGAACTTGCACACAATCTGTGGTTGTTATATTCTTACATAAAGTGTTTGTTGCATATGAAGCATTTCATCAATCTTGAGTTGGTCCGCAGAGGAGACCATTTCTGCACATACCTTCTTCTTCGTACACCGGCTGTGAATTCTGGCGGAAGGTCCCAGTAGTTTCGTCCATTTGGACTATTGGCTTTTACCTGGACCTGAGTTTTGAGTGTACATCCAGTTTTATTGGCTTATTTGTTTGCCTTCCCTGCCTCACCCGCAGATGTACTCCGACTTCGAGGGATCTGCATGTACTAACACAGCATGAGTTCTGCCAGTTTTCAGGTCTTTACATAACTAAGTGTTCTACACAGGGGTTCAGCTAAATATTTCAATGCATCATAAGCAGGGATACATCAAGTATTAAATCTTAAAATCACGCAAAAGCATGTTGGCACCTTTCCCTCTTTCATAAAGACTGTTATAAGTAGTTTGAAATCAAACCCATGATTTCTGTCACAGGCGTGAGGTAAAGTCGAACGTGATGTGTATAAGGAGATACTCCGTACGTCACTCGGACGCCAGTCCTTCACTGTTCTGGTTTTATTGAACCTCATGCAAGAATCCTGATGCACGTCCTCGTCGTGCGCCATGGATAATGTCTCAAATGAGCATTAACAAAGCTGTCAGCGGATCTCGGATTTCGCGGCCCCCAGAGGTGTAGTGTCCTTGTGGCTCTTCATCAGCCCGCCCCCAAACGCATGGGTGATAAAGTTTATCAAAATTCATTAGGAACATGAGTAAAGTCTGCTTGCCAAATGTAAAACTAAAATGACAACCCTCGGTTAAAAGTTTGTGGAGTGAAGATAACATTGTGCTGCTGAGACTCAACCCTTGACCAAGAGATTTACCCGCAGCTCAGATGAGTAACATCTCCTATGGGTGGCGTCTCGCAGCAAGATTCTACCCTTGTAATCCTCTGTCAACTCTCAGTGTCGTCGTCACTGCCCTGAGGTACACCACGACAGTAACAGTCCATTGGCTGGCTAAGCCCAAATGTCCGATAAAAAAAATAGATCCTATGGCACACGAGCAAGCTCAAAATCCGAACTTCAAAAATCATATTGAATGGAAAAAGTCCAAATATCCACATCCAGAGACCCCACTCGCTCGAGTGTTGGGACCAAACACATAAAGACATGCCTGACGCAGGATTCTCCATTCTGTCGTGCTAACAGCACGTTAAAGATGTCAAATGTGCGACAAAAAAGAATGTACCTATTCGTGTGGTCACAAAAGTCCAGAACCTGTGGGCCGATCTCCGGTGGGCACAGCCCATGTCAAGCAGGAGGCCTAATACTAATAATGTGAGGTTAAGCAGACATGTGCAGGACGTAATGATTTCTTGGGTGAGCCAAGAACCAGAGCGTCATGTGTCAGCTCTGCATTTATGGAAGCCTCCTTGGATGGCAGGGAATGCCCATTATCTGCCCCTGCCTTCCCTTGAGGGCTAACCATTCCACATAGGCTGTCCCGGTACTTCGGGGGCAACACATGAGAAAGGGACAAAGAGGACACCACAAAAATTGGTTAACATCTCGACCCACACAAAGCAATGGCCACAGTCGTCCTAGAAAGAGGCCTGACATCTTCTCTCGAAGTCGGAGTGCATCTGCCCGTGAGGCAGGGAGCAGCAAAAGCCAGTAAAATGGTTGTACGTGCAAAACTCAAGCCAAAGTCAAAGCTGACGATTTGGGGTTTTAGAACATGCAGGCCCATCTACTGCAACAAGGATGAGACAGACGACTTTTTAAACCATATAATATATAATAGAAACTGTTAGAGAAAAGGGAAATTTTGGCTCTTTAAATCGTAAGATATGTATTATGTTGTCCCTGTGTTGGTTCCAGGACCCCACTGTGGGGGGGGGGGGGGGGGATTTGGGAACTCACTGCCTACCTAACAAGCACAAGAGCTGACTGACTAAGTTTCTTCAAAGTCACAGTGCATCTGCCTGAGAGGCAAGGAACCAATAAATAAACCTGCTCTGCAAAATGGATGTGCCCACAAAACTCAATTTATGGAACAAGACTTAAAGTCCAGTAGTGGGAAGTGGACGAACAACCATGAATCATGGCTCTTTAAATCGTAAGATTATGTATAAGGTTGTCCCTGTGTGGATTCTAGGACCCCAGTGTGGGATGGGGCCAATGCCTACATAACAAGCACGTCGTAAGAGCCGACTAACCAGTTTCCTTCAAAGTCACAGTGCATCTGCCTGAGGGGCAAGGAACCAACAGATAAACCAGACCTGCAAAATGGATGTGCCCACAAAACTCAATTTCTGGTACCAAGACTTAAAGTCCAGAAGTACAGGAAAGAATAAGAAACAGTATTATGTTGAGCAATACCCTTTCTGCTCATAACATTGAGAATTAACCATTTGAAATTGAAATATCAAGACAAATATGAAGAATACTAACCACTTTAAACTTGGTTTGAAGCGATGGAGATTCAAAATTGGATAGGCGACCAGCTGGCCAGGACCATGAAATGTGACCGACCCTGCACGGTTAGTCTTATAGAACTCAGCACCTGTCTTCTTCAGTCGAAGCTCATCACCTAAGGAAAAAAAGTAAATGCTACAATACTATAGTTAATACCATTGTCAAGTAGTAGATCATCATGACAACGTATGTACCCCATGATAAAGAAGTAAATCTCATTTATATAGTTACTGATCACAAGATAAAGTAGTAAATTCTATAGTAAAACAGTAAACCTAGTGACAACAAAAATCTCATGCTAAAGCAGTAAACCCTATGATAAAGAAATAAACCCAATGATTAATTAGTAGACCCCACGATGATGTACAGATAATGTATGGGTAAGGGGGGGGGGAGGAAAAGACTGAATTAAATGATGTCTTACATGGGCTTTGCTGCTAGTAAAAAAAAAATGTTTTGCTACTATATGGTCCTAGTTTATACAACGGATCAACATCATGGCACAAGGGTAGTAACCCATAAGTGCTTGGTTCTACCTCTAACACAAGCCTGAGTCCAAAGAATGCCAACTGGCCAAAACTGTGGTCTCTCTACTGCTGCAGAATTCTGTGGTGCTTGTCCACAGGGGGCAAAGTTCTGAGTCACAAATCTTGAATTTCTTGTTCATATGGCTGCAGTCTGTTTGACAATTCTGCAACTTAAATACAATACTGCTTTTACTTTCCTGGACATTACCTGGTACCCATCTTAAGTTTGATCAACCTGGAAGCCAAGGTCAAGATTCAAACCTAAAACCTTCAGGCTGGCAGGTAAGCATCTAACCATTACACAACCACAACTCCCTGATCAGACTAATATGAAATTATGTCTATGACACAACAATATAACCTTCTGATAAAAAGTAAAGATCCCTTTTCACGCCTTACGTGGGTTAGGTGGTCAGCATTACGCTGGCCGTCTTTACTTCCCCAGGACATACATCCTGGTACTCATTTTAGGCTGAGTCGACCTGCGACGCCCCATACCATGATTAAAATCCACGCAGCCAGCAGTGGGTTTCGATCACGGTACGTTGGAATTATGAGTCAGACTAGCAAAACCTAAGCCTAAGCCACGGACGCCGCATAACCTTCTGATGAAAAATAAACAAGTTCATGCTAGGTACACTAAGGAAACTGATCACATAAAAAAAAAGATTTCTGTCAGATCACCAACATGAAGTGATGTTTACAAAATGTTGCAATTTGACACTTGCAGATACAGAGGAAAAAAAACATTACTTTTGGTGAAGTTATTTCTGAGGCCCGCAGTGTAAACAGGAGTGTGCTCCACCAACAAGAGTGTGTTCTCCCCATGGGTGTAGGGTCTTCCTGAGAGCTCATCCAAGTGCTGCTGGGCAAATCGCATCTGCAAGCATTGACATCTGATGAGATCATTTGCTCTTAAATACTCATGGCATAGATAAACAGCAGATCAAGTGGTTTGGCCATCTCGTTAGAATGCAGCAAGATCACATACCATCACAAGCACTACATCTCAGAAGATCAGCTACAAGAGCAAGAGGACGGACACAGAAAATATAGATCGACAACACTAAAGACACTAGATGCCTTCACAGCATGACAATAGCCAGTGGCAGCCAACATGCACTGGATCACAAATTATTCTTCCCCACTGTCGCTCAACTGAAGAAGTGGTTTATGATGATGATGATAGATAAATATCATAGGACACATGCAATTTGATTACAGACAGAATAAATTAGATAATCTCAATCAGATATGACCGAGCTACCGAATAAAAGTAGATGGTACTACACAAAGGTTTTGGTTTTTATACTGAACGTTGTCAAACCTGACACACCACAGGCGCCAACAGCTGCCGGTAGAGGATTGCACTGAGGATCATACTAGCCTTATCCCAGAAAATGGAAATGCAACCTAAAAACTAACTCTGTTGCTTCATAAATGTTCATATCTAGGCTCATCTATTTAGTTTTATGGGCATGATTACTTTGGGCAGTGGTTGCTATACCGGAATAACAGTTTATGTGCTGGTTGCAGCTGCTTGGGTGTAGGCATGGTGGGTATGATTATATTTACCCCAAATATTGTTATAGAATTTGTGATAAATAAAAAGATTTTTTTAAATTGTCAACACTACAATGTCAAATAATTTCATAACGGCATCACATTGCTCTTTGTGAAAAAGTAACCAAAACCACTTTTTGATAGTTAAAGGGAAGAAAATCAGTTAACTCTTTGCTCCATTTTATTAATGATTTCTTTCTTTTGCGTAGATATACACGTTTTCCCGATAGAGACATTTATCGACTGAAGGGCTGTAATTACAAAATTATTGTTAGTGATGTGACATCAAAGAAGGACTTCACACATGTCTATTTGCTCTGTGGTCTAAGGGTTCGATCTCCTGGATACTTATAAAACCTGTCCAACACTCCAAATTTCTTCCTTTTCTCTTGTTCTAGTTTCCTCAAAGCATAGTATGCGCTTTTTTTTTGGGGGGGGGGGGGGGGGGGGGTATTATTGCTTGTATTGTTTAGTATTGACAGGCAGACACAGCGCTGCTTTTCTGAACCAACAGTTTCTGCAGCCTGCTTTATTGCAAACCTACTGATGTTACCCTTTCTTTGGAGTAAACAAGGCAAACAGAGAGAAGGGGTAAAACCTGGTCTCTAAAAAACTGCAGACTGAGTTATGAGAGGAGGAAATTCATTCTTGGATGTGATTCCCATGCCTCTCTGTAAAACAGTTTAACACTATCGTCTGGAAAGATGGATATCTGCCATCACAATTAGATAATATAAACAGGGGACAAGACAGACAGATCTCACAACAGTTATAGTGGGATGGGAGCAGTGTGAGTAGTGCCTGATGTCTCACAAGCCATATCTTCTTCTTCGAATTCACCAGCTGTAAACTCCAGCAGAAAGTTCTGGACTTTATTCTGGTTCCAGAACCTGAGTCTTGCACGCACATCTATTTTACAGATCTGGCTTATTTGCATGCAAACTAAGTTCCTCTCACCTCTGTTACAACATACTTGTTGGGGCGACAGTTGGTAGTAGTAATATGTTTGAATGAACCAATGAACACACACAAGCACACACATACATCTTCTTCTGCCTTTCTATCCCCCAATGGAGCATAGGCCCTCAACCAACTCACGCCAAGTCGTTCTATCCTTCGCCATTGCATGGAGCTCTCCTCATGTCCTCCCAATCTTTCCAACCTCATTCTCCAGCTCTCTTCTCCATGTGTTTTTTGGCCTTCCTTTATTCCTATGCCCCTGTGGGTTCCAATGCAAAGACGTATCCATTAATCTATCCATGTCCATTCATACATGCATCCAGTTACCTCCCCTCCCCACCACCCACACACACCCACTCATACGGATATATACTCTCAGATTTACCCACACATATACTCTCACACACAGATAAATACATAACACCCACACAATCATACATAAGCACGCATATACACAATCATATGTAAACAATCATGCACATTTAAACAAACACATAATCTTCCATACACATATATACTCACTCACACACACTCATAAATACAAACAGTCACACATATATATATATATGCACTCTCACACATCCATACACACTGAATCCCATCAAGGCAGGAATTGTTAAATTAACCTCGGCTCCCTGGTCAAACCAGCCCAAATAAGCACAAGGATGTAAATACTCTGGAAAGTACCAGTGGGTTAGATAATAATGATGAAATCATCCACTGAACACTGATTTGTCTATAACAATATGGGGCAGGTAATATGTACCCAAGATGTCTCAAGCATGTGAAAGGGTCCTTTCCTGTTTCTCTTACATGGTAGGATGAGCATATGCAACAGGATGGTGTATCATACTGACAGACAGCTGACAAAACCTGATGACTGGTCAGACAGAAATGATAAGATTAGACTGAAAATGTTACAGTCAGACTGACAAAGCAATAGATAAGATTACCTGCACATCATAAGCTGCAATGAATCCCATGCGGCCCAGTGTGATGACACTGACAGCTCTGTTTGACAATGCACACATGTTTTTGCCTGAAACAACAAAGTGTGTGAGTCATTTGCGAACATCATCAGCTATCAACAACATAGAAAACACACACTGCGAACAGTCAGTGCACTGCGATTTTAGTCAACTATCCACCATCAGATACAATTTTACTGGAAAGGGATAGGGAGGGGCGCAACTTGAAAAACTGGGGTGAGGGGGCTTAAGGTGCTCAAGCGCCCAGGTTCTGTCACCTATGAACAGAATGATTTATTACAAGTTTCTTCAACATCTGAAGCTATTAAACAGGAAGTGAAGAAGAATATCCTAGTGCTCAGGTTACACCAATAGGTATTTAGTCTCTCAAAAGTGTAATTTCCACCATCAAGCTCCTCTTTTTTTTTTAAGGCATAACACTAATGAAATATATTATATAGCTAGATAATTACAAATATATGATTATATATTCATAAATAATAATTATATATATTAAAAAACATTGGCTCTCCTTTCAACTACGGCCGGTAGACAACAGTTGACGGCCGGTTAGTCGGAGTTCTGTCCCTTGGCTGCAGTGCAATTACGGACTGGAGAAGGCACGAATAAAAAAACCCAGTGAAGTCGACATGCCTGGCAGAACCCGAGCTGCGCGACAAATTAGTGACCGAGTTCAATTACCGCTTCTTGCGACGCATTATGGAGTGAATTAGAGGGAAGGACACAAGTGACATAATTACTGTGTGTTGGCGATAGACAGCGTGCAGTGCCCTACTGTCATCATACGGTTAGGGTTTGGGTTAGGGTTTGGTTTAGGGTTAGGGTTTGGGTTGCTACGTTAGAGTTTCTGCGAAGACGAGATGCGGCGACACTAACCGTAACGCTAACCCACACCCTACCACTAACCCTAAACTAAACCCTAACCCTAACCGTATGATGACAGCAGGTCACTGCACGCTGTCTATCGCCGACACACAGTAATTATGTCATTTGATTCATGCCTTCTCCAGTCCATAATTGCACTGCAGCCAAGGGACAGAACTCCGACTAACCGGCCGTCAACTGTTGTCTACCGGCCGTAGTTTATAGGAGAGCCAAAACATTTAATATACATAGTCTGCTAAGCACTTGTACTGGCATATCATTTTTTCAGACCTGAATAGTTAAATCTGGTAATCTAATTTAACTAAAATCAACAGCTATGCACAAACACACACACCTGGCAGACAGACACACAAATGTTGTAAAAGTAAACAGATACCTGTTATTAGTGAAGACTATAGGAAATTCCAGATTTTGTGTAATATAATGGAAGATGGATTCTGAAATAAAAAAATAAAAAAAACACTTGTTAAGTCATAGATATACATATTACAAGTAAAAGAAAAAGTAGAGGACCTCTTTCAAGCTATTAGCGCATAGTAAAAGGGCCCTTTTCCATACCTTCAGGCGTACTGGGCATATCAGGCTGAACCTATATTTTATAGACCAATCCACACTTGGTGGGTGATGTGATCAGCGTTACCTTGGCCGTCTTTACTTCTCAGGACTGTACCCAGTACCCATTCAATGCTGGGTCCACCTGGGAGTCAAAGTCATTTTTGAAAAAAGTACGGCTCCTCTAGATTCTGAACCACGACCTTCCGATCAGCAGGCCAGCGCCAAGCCGCTACATTACCATGGCTCCCATTAGCGCACAGGGTAGGCTTTATGGTAAATATAACCATATTTTATAACGATTGGACTTGATTTGTGCTGTGGCCAACCTGAAACTTTTACTTCCCCGGACAATTCCAGGTGCTCATTTTAAATGCGTCGACCTGAAGGGCCCAAATCATTTATAAAATTTGCCCCGACGCGGATTCGAACCCAAGATCATAGGGTCAGCAACTGCGACAAACCCACACATTTTACACAGTCTCGACTTATTGAATAATAGTATCTAAACTATCCACTACATTCACGCGCATTCGTATGTCAACAGAACAAGAGCGACCCAAACTTTAAATGCAGTCAGCTATAAAACTATTCACTCATGTGAATTCCCCACTGGAGAAGAGAGCTCCTTTGTTCGGTAACAGCTGATCAAGTGATGGTTTCATTTGTCACGCGTGGGTATATACTGGACTGACTGTGCTTGGCCTTGTCCTTGAGATGACTTCCACAACATTGTACACGTGCGGGTATTCGACAGGACAACGCTAAACTATAAGGTCCCCTCGCCTGACACTCTTTATTTTGATGTGGAATTGGGGGTTGGGGATAGGCAACGCGACCGCTGTATAAACCTAGGCCCCAATAATGTCACACAGTTGCTTTTGATGAAGTGACCCGAAGGTCGTGGGGCACTGAGCTGAGGGGGAGAAACTTATCTGATAGTACAGGCAAGTGTAGGTCAACCAGGGGCGCTGATTCATGTGGATCAGGTCTTTCAGTACCTTACTAATACGCACTTAAACAAGGTTTGGATAATATTGACCCCTTCTCCCTAGAAAATGTGTACGGGGACTGAGTGGGCTCCAAATCGTGTAAATAAGTTATCTTTTTACAAGTATTTTTGTATATACATTGCACCTCTGACGGAAGAATGGATAGAGAAATCAACATACGATGTGCGAGTTGAATAAAGCTTGCTGCACGCAACTGGTCATAGCATGATCACTGCACAAGTATAGTGTCTCGCATGTGTGACTATTTGGCCTTGATCAACTGTATTACAGTGAGGTTTTCCCAGATTAAAGTAGGGTCAGAATTGTCACGATATGAACAACCTGGGAAATGGCACCTGTAAAACCAGACTCACAATACGTGTTTTCTACCAGACTGAGAAACAACCCTCATCTGACAGGAGCGTTCTTTCGACACACAACAAAATAATCTGGTGTAAGACATTCCAAGATTAGTGCAAAGGAAACTGGATGACATTACAGTTATGCTTAGCATCTACTAAACACATCTTGCTACCATAAGCAGCCACAAGGCCGTGCTCAGGCTTCAGCGAGAGAGAGAGAGAGAGAGAGAGAGAGAGAGAGAGAGAGAGAGAGAGAGAGAGAGAGAGAGAGAGAGAGAGAGAGAGAGCATATGTGAGAGAGAAACAGTATGTGGGTGTGTGATGGCGAGCGTGTGTGCATGTGTGTGGTTATGTGTATGGGGTTGGGTGTGGTGTGCATGTGTGTGAGTTTATGGGTGTGTACTGGTGTGTGTGTGTGTGGTGTTGGTAGATGGCGCATGTGTGTGTGTGTGTACGTGCGCGTTTTGAGTCTTATAAACTTGGACTGATGAGTTTAAACAGGGCGATTATTGCAAGTAACGGCTAGGGTTGCGTGGATACAAAGTACAAAGGAGGTGCAAACTGACAAACTGCACGAGTGGTGTCAACACAAATCAGTCAGACCACATCTCCATGATGAAGACTGGTGGCTGCTATGGGTTTCTCCCTTGCTGCACACTGACAGACTGCTCTCGTCCATATCATGATGTTGCATTTCCACTTGGATGGGACATGAGGAGTTACAGAAGGCATATCGTGAATGGATTTACTGTGGAAAAAAAAACGTACACTTAGTACGAAGTACCCCCCCCCCCCCCCCCCCCCCCCCACAATATCAGAAGGCAAAGGAAAACCGCTGATTACAATAAAAAGTCGAGTGTTTGAATCCTCGTAAGGCGTCTGTTCTGAATTGGTTCACTTGTGTTATGTAAAAAAAAAAAAAAAGGTGGTAGGATAGTTCGAAACCCCTGTCTGGATGGGAATTGTACAGGGAAAGGTGATAATTTAATGCCAGTCAGCAAATTCCCATCCACACTCATAGCGCTCGCACTGTTTCTGCAGTAAGGTGCGTACAGGAAATGTGAGCCTACTTTAAAATGAAGCATGCTATATGACTGATGGGTTAGTATGACCGCGACAACGTGGTCGAGCTTTTTTTTTTTTTCTCAAAAGGACTTGGACTTGGACATGACCGCGACTGATGGGTTAGGATGACCGCGACTGATGGGTTAGGATGACCACGACTGATGGGTTAGGATGACCGCGACTTATGGGTTAGGATGACCGCGACTGATGGGTTAGGATGACCGCGACTGATCTGTTAGGATGACCACGACTGAATGGGTTAGGATGATCACGACTGATGGGTTAGGATGATCACGACTGATGGGTTAGGATGATCACGACTGATGGGTTAGGATGACCGCGACTGATGGGTTAGGATGACCGCGACTGATGGGTTAGGATGACCGCGACTGATCTGTTAGGATGACCACGACTGATCTGTTAGGATGACCACGACTGATGGGTTAGGATGACCACGACTGAATGGGTTAGGATGACCGTGACTGATGGGTTAGGATGACCACGACTGATCTGTTAGGATGACCACGACTGATGGGTTAGGATGACCACGACTGATGGGTTAGGATGACCGTGACTGATGGGTTAGGATGACCGTGACTGATGGGTTACGATGATCACGACTGATGGGTTATAATGACCACGACTGATGGGTTAGGATGACCACGACTGATGGGTTAGGATGACCGTGACTGATGGGTTAGGATGATCACGACTGATGGGTTATAATGATCACGACTGATGGGTTATAATGACCACGACTGATGGGTTAGGATGACCACAACGACTGATGGGTTAGGGTGAGCATGACCTGCGGGTTAAGGAAACAGCATTAAAAGGTACGGCAGGTGTCTTCTAACCCCCTCTCGTCCATGACCTGTTGGCCTAACGCCCATCTTCCCCCAGTAAATTGTGGACCCTCTACATGCCCTTCCCTATGGCTTCCAGAAAACAGATCTTGTTTTTTAAAGGACTCAATAAATCAGTGTGCGTCTTATTCAGCGATGGCGATGTTCCAGCGAGAAAAAAATACTGAGCAAGCGGCTTCTCTAACTCAGGCGAAAGATCTCATTTCGAAACAGCAGGCAAAGCAATTTTTTTTTTACTGCTACAACTCACCCCTCCCCCCGCGTCTCTACCTCATGCGAAAGGTCTCTTTCAGTCGACAGCAGGCCTAGCAATTTTATAC